GGTTTTTTTTTTTTTTTTTTCTTTTTTTCATTTTCCTGTCTAGAACAAGTTCTCTATGCCTTAGTTAAGAATCATAGCATGTCAGGAGTGGTAGTATGTCTTTAATTCCAGCACTCGGAAGGCAGGCCACGTGGGTCTCTGTGAGTTTGAGGCCAGCCAGAGCTGTAAGTGAGAACATGTCTCAAACAACAACAAAAAAGAATCATAGCATGTGGGGCCTGGAAGGTGCTCAGTTGGTAAAACGCTTGCCATGCACAAGGTCCTGAGGGTTTTTTCCCTTCTTCTTTTATTACATTTATTTACTGTGCACGCATGTGTGCCATAACATGATAGCAGAGGTCAGAAGAAAACTTTCAAGAGCCACCCATTCTCTCCTTCTACCATGTGGGTTCCCAGGATGGAACTCAGGTTGTCAGGCTTGGCTGTAATAACTTTTATCTGCTGAGCCATCTCATTGGCCCAGAGCATGTCAATTCTATCCCCAGCCCCACACAAAGGCCAACCGCAGCAGTGTGAAACTACGATCCCAGCACTAGGGAGGCAGGACCAGGGTGGATCCCTGAAGCTTGCTGCTAGCCAGTCTAGCTGAATAGACAAACTCCAGGTTCACTGAGACTTGCCGTCTTAAAAAAATACATAAGAGGCAGAGGGATTGAGAAAGAGAACCGGTATCTACCTCTCGCCAGCCCCCCAACCTCAGCATTCTACAAATACCCATGCAGTAGAAAGATTCCAAGATCACAGCACCAACCCTGGGTCCTCACTCCAGATCTGTGGTGGAAGAAAAACAAAATTATACAGTGTACTGTATCTCTGGGTTCCATATCCTTGAATTCAACTAACCTCAGATCAGGTTAGGAAAACTGTGCACTAATCACACATAGATTTTTTTCTCATTGTTCCCTAAAAATACAGTACAACAAGCATTTACAGTCTATCAGGTATTGTAAGTAATCTAGAGACAATTTAAAGTAGACAGAAGGGGTTTATTGGGGCTATATAAAAACACACCATTTTATTTAAGGGCCTTCAGCATTTTGGGGATTTTGAACCTATGTCCTAGAACCCATCCCCTATGAGATACTTCTGAATAACTATTTTTTGACAGCCAAATGTTATCACCAATGATGTAAACCTGTATCTAATTATCTAATTAACCTATGCAAAAGGAAAAAAAATTTTTTTTTAAGTTAAATTCAAAAGACAATCAGAAAAGCTCCGAAAGCAGATACTAAACCTAACTTTCAGGCACCATGGTATTAATTTCAGTTTTTTGTCTGTTTAAAGATAACTACTTCCAAACTATACTTGCTTTCTTGATTTTTTTTTTATATAGTCTTGGAAGATCCTTACCATTACCCCTCTAGAAACAAACCACTAAAACTAGCTCATTTTTAGCCAGGCATGGTGCTGCTGCTAGCTTATAATCCTAGCACTTGGGAAGCTGAGGCAGGAAGATGGCTGCAGGTTTAAGGCTAGCCTGGGTAATTTAGCAAAGTTCTGTTTAAAAAAATCTTAAAAAGCATTTTTTGAGATACAGCCAAGTAGGAATAAACAGTGTATTTGCTCAATGAATGATTCTGAATACCATGTATTTTTCCAGTTTTAAAAATAGGCTTAAAAAAAATCACATTAAAAAAAAATAGGTTTCTAACCATATAACAAGAACATGTGGTCTATGAAATTAGGTGACATCTCCCATTAAGCCCTCTTGGCCTATACTCTCAGGGAGGAAGTAGAAGCCCACAGATTACTTGTGTGTAAAATGCACAGTCAGTACACATATGTTTTTGTGCCTAAGAGAATTATTGATGATGCTCAAAGCTATCCTGAAGTATTTAGGGCAAAATGGAATGCAGAACTAAAAATTATTAACAAGTAAGAGTTTATGCTTTTTCCTCACCACAGAAGTTAAATCACTCTCTTTCTATTGCATGTGGTGGGAGTGAAGGGCACAGGAGAGTAACGCCTACGGAACAACCTTCTGGAACACTTAATGATTACTTGATTTGGTATACTTATTTTCAAGAATGATCTCAAGTAAAGCTGACCTACATGTGTATAAAACATATTGCCAATCAGGCTAATTATTCATGTGCCCAAAGAAAAATCAGGAAATGATGAAGTTAAAAAAGGGGGGAGGGAAAAATAAGAAACTTAAGCCAGCTGTGGAATGGGATATGGGATTGCCTACTGGCCTGTCTCCCTTTATTTCAAACTTTGTTAAATAAGACAAATTCTTCAAATAGGAAGAGAACACTTTTAAGGAATCAGACGGCTTTTAAAAGCCTCTTTCTCACTGCTAACTTGTGTACCTTGAGTTATATTTACTCAACCATTTACTAAATATTCAAGTAGGTCAAGCACCATTATAAGCAATGCAGGTTCAAACCTAAGAAAAACACACAAGTTCCTATGTTCAAGGAACAGACAGCCAACACAACCACAGTGATTGAATGAATGGGTTAAGGGCTGAGGCCAGGGAAGCAACTAGGTAAGAGACATGATGGCTCAGAGCAGGACAGCAAGAATGACTTGAGGACCAAGGAAGGCAGCTCAGCAAAGCCTGACTTTCCTGTGATGGTGAAAGTTCTTTGCACTCCCTCCCTCCCTCCCTCTGTTTTTCTCCTAGAAACACAACCTTCACCACAACTATACCAGACCTCCTCTGGATGGGTAAGGGTTGAGACTGGACGCTACCTTGTTCCTCTTTCAGGCTTCTGCCTTGATCACATCATGACTGGCTTCTTGTCATTCAGATCTCAACCGAAAAGCCACCTCAAAGAAGCCTAGCTAATCATGATATATAAAGCTAGTATTTCTATCATAGTACTTACCTAAATCTTATGTTGTTGCTCCTAATTATAAAGTGAGATCTAGAAAGGACAGAGCCTCACATGCCTTGTTTCCTGCATAGTCTTAAGAGTGAAGTATATAGTGGGCAGTCAAGAAATACTTACTGAATGAGTAATTCAATCTTCTTGTGTCTTAACACTGTGTTATAAACAGCAGCATAAAATGGGACTCTATGTCAGCAGAGTCAGCTGATAATATCACCACAGTGCTCTATCAATTTGCTTCTGTCCTATAAATTTAACAGTTTCTAAACAAAATCTGTTCATCAATATTTACAATCTATACAAAACCACTGGAAGAGTATTGGCTATGAAAATCTTTTAACAACAATTAAAGGAACACTTTTCTACCCGTGTACTATCTCTAAGTAGCTCTGCAAGAAAAATCTACTGAAACAAAAAAGCAAACATAGGTCAAAGGGCTTACAAAAGAAAAAAAAAAAAACCTAAACAATAACCAAACAAACAAACAAACAAACAACAAAACACAAACACACAAAGCAAACTGGAGCACCTCTCAACCAGGATAAGTCAAATGTCGACCTTTTACTTTTTTAACAGTACTTATTTAAAAATTTGTGTATCAGTGTTTTGCCTGCATATATCTATGTATACCACATGTGCTCAGTGCCTTGGAGGCCAGGAGTGAGTTGGATACCCCGGAACTGGGGTTAGAGATGGTTGTGAGCTGCCATGTGGGTGCTGGGAATGAAACCTGGGTCCTCTGCACGGGCAACAAGTGCTCTTAACAACTGAGCCATCTCTCCACCTCTCCCCCTGTTTCTGACACGGTCTCCCTAGTTCCAGCTGACTATGTGGACCAGGCTGGCCTTGATCTCACAGAGATCCACCTGCTTCTGCCTCTCAAGGGCTGGAATTAAAGGTGCACACCACCATGTCCAGCTCCAGTCTCCCTATAACAGTTCTTGTACGCAGAACTGTGACTTGTAAACATTGTTCTCATTTGAACACAAAAAAGAATGCATTTAATGTTAGAACGGAGGTGAGAGTTGAATCATTCCATGTAAGTAACATGTTAGGCCCATGTTAGTATTTGCTGACTGAATGCCTTATAAGACTGTAGGCTATTAACAAAGCATCTGTAACATAAATGGTTCAAAAGGAGCTTCATTAAAAAAAACAGCCATTTGGGAACTAAGTTTCATAAAATCAAACACTAGCACTATTATGGTATACAGGAATTGTGTGCTTGGCTTTCTAGTGGGAACCACGTACTGTGTGAGTTTTCTGGATGTGTTGCTAATCCATAAGGTTTATTTTAAAACAGCAAAAGCCTCCAAGTGACCCACATGCTCCCTTATATACCTGTGAGGATGAAAACAAGACAGGCAGCTATAGGCTCAGTCATTTCATAGGCCGACTCTCCTCTGCCTTCAAGGGTCAACTAAATCTCAGTAAACTACACATACTGCCTACTTACAGGCTCTGGAAAAATGTTTCAGTGCTGTCATATCTCTTTAAACAGTAACTCCAACTTTTTAATAGGCCCTGGAGACTGAGCAGAGTCAGCTGTCCCGTTAGAATTTTGGAACCCGAGTCAAACACTCATGGGACAAAATATGACCATCTAACTGTTCTGTGTTCAAAGTCTCAAGAGATACAACCACCAATCATGCATTATAAACAATATTTTCAATACTGTCATAATATAAAATGAATCTTTAATTTTCAAGTGTTTAAAAAAACAAATTTACACTTAAGCCAGCCTTGAAGATAAGCATAAAATTTACTAATTTAACCTTTAAGAGAACAAACACAAAACCCCCACAACAGCTGAAGCACCCATTCTGTGCATAGCACTACTCTAGGTGCACTCAGAGGGAGGTGGCCTTAGAAACAAGATTTCACTTTCTGGAACTGCATTATTTCCTTTCCCAGAGAGCAAAAATAAATAAAGTCACCACTGTTTCCTATGAATCTGCCCCCAGCCTTCTTCTGGCTCACAGAAAAACTAATTTATGATTCCCCCCAACTTTTTTTTTAGAAATGATGAACTCAGCCCATTTCCCCCAAACAAAGTCAAAACCCTTTTCACCAAGACAGTGAAAACAAACATTTTTTTTCCTGCAAGGACAATTTGTTCCTAATAAGTAATTTTTAAATTAATTTTTCTTTTTATCATTTCTTCAATTTTTCTTCCATCACATATTGCCTAGTACAAGGCAAATAAGACATCTTTTTATGCTAAGAAAAGTACTGCGTCTTGAAGACAAACCATTCCCAAGAGCAGTGACAAAAATATTAAAATAACATAAAAGGTGAGTCACCCACATTACCTCAACCAAGTAAAAAACAGAAATAAAAACAGATGGCACTAAGATGGCTATTCCAAATATCTGTGTCTAAACAATTTTTAAAACTGTAATTTTTTTTAAGAATGTACCCCCCAATCCAAAGTATCTTTTTAAAATTTTTTGGCCAAAAAATTTACAAAACCCCTTTCATTTCAACCTAATAAAAGTGGTATCTAGAAAACGCTCCACATTATTAAGTCTGTCTTTAAAAGTTCAGATTTTAAAGCATTCCTAAGGCACGGTGTTCTGGAAGACAAATGTGCTTCTGCTGGCATTGCATTACATGCGAAGTCTCCCTGACAGGCACCTTCTCCTGATGCTGTGGGACTGGGGGAGAAGTCAGACGTAGGCTCCTAGGGCAGCATGGAACTCTGTGAGGCACTGGACCAGCTGTTGGAACTTGGGCCTTTCTTCTGGGTCTAAGGCCCAGCAACAGGCCATCACAGCAAACCTGCAGAATAACAGTGGAAAGTGTGGCTAGTAAGGACCATCTTGTCAATCTGATGCTAGTTATGCTTTCTGTCAAAATGTGGATATAGAAAGGACAGCATTCACCAAATGATTAATTTTACTACGGTGGCAGTTCTAGAATTGAAAAGAAGCTAAAATAAGTTATTTGGATTATATATGTAGATTTCAGTTCTTCATGAAAATACAAACTGTTTCAGCAAATGCAGTTTCATGTAAATACACAGAACACAGTCAAAATAATAGGCTATGTCATTGTGTAGGTTGCGAAAGAAAGAACTCAGAGGAAGTGTTATCTGAGCTCCAAGATCCCAGGATCAACAGCAAAGCTGCTGACTTAAATGAGCACAGAAATCTGGGGATTCTGGAGGTAACATTTATTTCTGCACCCTCTTCCCCAACCAGCCCCTCCCACCACACTGTCATGATGGGAAGGTCAACTATGTGATGAAGACAAGAAGCACCTGTGTCACTCAAGAGCCCAGAGCATCTTCCCCATGCAGCCAATACCTAGCAATGCAAGAGGGCAAGAAAAAAAGGCTTTCTCTCTCTCTGTCTCTCCTTTGTGTGTGTGCATGTAAATATGTGTGTGGTGTGTGTACATGTTCATGGGTATGTGTATACATTATGTGTGTACATTGTGGAGGTACAGGTCAACATTAAATGTCTTCCTCTATTGCTTTTCACCCCTCACCCAGAGACAGGGTCTCTCACTGTCACTGAACTTGGAGCTCACTGATTCATCTAGGCTGTCTAGTCAATGAGCTTCAGGGATCTGCCTGTCTCCACCCACCCAGTGCTTGGGTTATACACAATGCACAATGCCCAGCTTTTTGGTAGATGCTGGGGATCTGAACTCAGGCCCCAAACAAAGCTTTACTAAGTACTATATCCTTTAGTCTGTTTAATCAAAAGTCAGGTAACTGACAGAATATTCAATTAGTTTTCTCACTTCGGTATTAGACTCCGAGACTAACTTTTAATACTTAAAATTATATACTACAGATACAAGATGCTAAGTGCATTAAAGTGACTATAGTTTTCTACCTGAATCTAAGTCTGAAGACTCATTATTCTCAAAGGGAAAGGCTCTGTATGAATATGGAAATTTGCTTTTTTATTTTTATAATAATAAAGTAAATGTAATGAAGCTGGTGTCTGAAATCAGAAAAACTCACAGCTCATCAGGGCAGTTGATTGGCTGGGCTATTCGATAACCATCTTTCAGGTACGCAGCCATCTCAAAGGGGTCGATGTCCACATAGGGTGTCTGGCCCAGAGTCATGAGCTCCCACAGTGTCACTCCAAACGCCCACTAGGAAAGGAGCAACAGAATAATGAGGTGACTGACATTTTAAAACTGCTACCTAGGTACTGATGACCACAGCCAGTTATGGGTCAGAAGTGGCAGGTAAACAAACACTTAAAAGTAAAATATTATTCATAAAAAGTCTAGCATACTAGGTTAGTTTCTTTTGCTCGGATAGGAAAGAAGGCATTTTAATGAATGCAGTCTTTCAAGTAAACATGAAATTGTGTTGGAAGAAATCATTTTTACTACTGGTTATAAGCTATACCACCCAAAATCATGAATTACATTGAGACATAGAAAATGAGTATAACTTTAGCCTAAATGGAAAAAACATTCTGAATAAGTGAAATGTGCAAATTGTGTAATTTACTTTGTTTATTGTGCAGTGCAGGAGACTGAACTCAGGGTATCATGCACACAAAGCACTTTTTTCTCCTACGAGGCAAGTCACTAGCTCTATATTTAACAATTTTTCATTAGCAGAAATACCCTGAAAAAAATATCTTCTAAGTCTTGATTGAATAAAAGATCAAATTTACTTAAAATCATCGTATGAATGTAAATGACCAGTAGGGGCAGGAATTCTAAGTAGAGGTTAATAGTGCCCAGGTGTGTTGGGGGGGAGTTAGGGATGGACACAGGGGTGAACACTGACTAGGGCTTCCCATTTTGGTCCAGCCCTAGCTGCACTGTAACTTCTGGAAAACATGTGAAGGATGGGCTACAAGTCCACCCAGAGCTGCTGCCATGCAGCTGAAAAGGGCTGGGGACTCCAACTGATCCATTACCTTAACCTATGCCTGAGCTCCTAACAACTGAAGCTAGGGAGTGAGCAGCAGCTGTGTAACACTGTATGATGCTCCCGAGTGCCGAGTGCTCACGAGTTCTAAGGATTCTGTGATGAGCCTCCAATCCCATTTAATTTTCAAAAAACCCAGAAAAGCTTACACTGGTAGCTTAAGTTTATAAGGTGAGGAAAACAGGCTAGATTAGTAGTTTGCCCAATCACATACTTTTTAATGAGTGAAAGAGGAAAAATTGGAGGGGAGGGGCAAACAAAGTCAAATACATCTTTCTAGAAAATATAAGCACAGTGCATTCAATTTGAGGTTATTATTTTTAAGTCAGAACAAAATCTGGAACCACTGTGTAAAATATACAGTTTAAAAAAAAAAAGTCCTTTCACAGGTTGAATATTCCTAGTCCAAAAATGCAACATGAGCCCAAATCCAAATTACAACATAGACATAACACTGAAGTGGGAATTTCCATACCATGAAACTTTGTTTCATACACAAAAATCATTCAAAATATTGCATCAAATTATATTCAGGCCATATGTATAATGCATATATGAAATACAATTGAATTCTGTGCTTAGATTTGAGTCCCACTCCGTGAACCTGGGTTAAGTTTCCAGAACCCAAATGACAACTAAAAACTGTCCATAACTCTTAATTCCTGGGGATCTGACACACTCTTCTGGTCTCCATGGGCATTGCATGCATATCTTGCACTTATATACATGCAAGAAAAGCACTCATGTAGAGAAAATGAATAAACTTTAAAAACTAATATGGAGCCAGGCATGGTGGCACACGCCTTTAATCCCAGCACTAGGGAGGCAGAGGCAGGCAGATCTCTGTGAGTTTAAGGCCAGCCTGGTCTACATGGTGAGTTCCAGGCCAGCTGGGGCTACAGGGAGACCCTGTCTCAAAAAGACCAAAAACAAAACAAAACAAAACAAAAAACAAACAAACAATGGAATGACATTTAAGAAGTACTTCTAAAACTGTCAATAAAGAAATTTGTATCAAGCCAAAATATACTTCAAAACTGAGAAAATGTTTCCAGCAAACAGACCTGCACTGTAAGACTTATGAAAGTATTCTTCATGCGAAAAGAAAGCATATCTGATGAAAATCTGGGTGTGCTCCAGTAAGAGTGTTCAAAACATGGGTAATAATAAAAGTATTTTTCCTCAGCTTAAAGCTTCTTCAACAGACTACTAAAAGCAGAAACTGCTAATAATGTATTGTGGGGCTTATAATACATACAGAAATAACTAAACATATGTTCACAATTGTATAAAAGATGGAAAGGGTAAGTGGAAATACAATATTTTAAGTTGCTCAAACCTGAAGCAGTGCACATTTACTAGAGTTTGAATACAAAATGTTCCCCATAGGCTCATGTATTCAAGGCTTGGTCCCCAGTCTGTGGTGCTATTTGAAGAGATGGAACAAGGTAGAAGCCAGGGTCCAGTTAGAGCAAGAAGGTCACTGGGGTGCTCTCCGTTGTTGTTTGTGTTTTGAGACAGGGTTTCTCCCAGTTGACCTGGAATTCACTATGTAGACCAGGTTGGGCTTGATCTCAGAGACTGGCCTGCCTCTGCCTCCGAGGGCTAAGATTAAAGGTGTGTGCCCATACACCCACTTTGTGGCATGCTTTTTGCCGGTCTCTGTTGCTGGCTACTATGAACTGAACAGCTTTGCTCCACTGTACCTTCTCTGTCATAATGTTCTACCGTGTGTTAGGCCCTGCTTAGCATGGACTGGAACCTCTGAAATCACCTGCCAAAATAAATCCTTCCTCCTTTACACCATTTCCTTCAGATACATCACCGCAGAATCAAAAGGCTAACAAATACACTACAACTCTAGAACATGTTTCTTTATATCAGCATTACTGTCACTGTAGATTTGTTGTAGGGGTCTGTATTGTACATTATAGGATATTCTTGCAGCAGTCCTGGGATCTAACCACTAGATGACAGTAACATGTCCTCCAAGTTGTGACAACCCTAAGCACCTCCAAACATGTCAAAAGTACCCTGGTGGGGTGGGGTTCTCCCAACTGAGAATCACTGAACTAGATAGAAGGAAATATAAACATTAATAATATTAGGAATGAAAGAAGGATCCTTTTAGAGCTTACAGATCTAAAAAAAATGCATGAACTAGTATTTATATCAATAAACAATTCAGATTAAATGAACAAATCTCTTACAATAAAAACGGCCAAATCAAACATAAGAATAAACAAAAAAAATCTATACAGTTCTACATATCTATTACAGAAATTAAAACTTGTAACTAAAAAACCTTTCCACAAAGAAAACCACACATCTCATTTCACTGATGAAGTCTATCAAATTTGAAAGAAACAACACAAATCTGTATTAGTTTCCTAAGCAGCCATTACAAAATACCACAAACTAGTGGCCAAAAGTGCAAACTCAAGGAGCTAGCAGGAACACACCCTCTAAAATACGGAAGGGTGACTCTTTCCTTCTCATCCCAACTTCTACTGGTTGCCAGCAGTCCCTGGTGTTCCTGAAAGTTGCACTCTGAGATACTGGAATTAAGATTTCCAATCTATCTTTTGGGGGGAAGGGTGTGAGGAATAAGGGAAGGGCAACACAATTCAGAAATTCTTAAGAAAAAGAGGAATACTTCCCCAACATTTTGAGAGTAGCACTGCCCGAAATACCAAAATTAAAGTGCTCTGGGCTTTTAGAACTTACTATCCTTTTATGAACATACTCAGTGAAGCAATGTCCAGCTTTGAGGACTGTGCTTTGGGAGAGGGAGGTATAGGAGACAGGTACAGATGATATTTTAAAATCCCCTTAGTGACTTGGAGACCAATGAAATTTCCTTCAACCTATTAAATATTCTATTCTGCTTAAAAATGTAAAAATTGTAGCTGGGCATGGTGGCACACACTTTTAATCCCAGCCCTCAGGAGGCAGAGGCAGGCAGATCTCTGTGAGTTTGAGGCCAGCCTGGTCTATATAGTGAGTTGAGGCCAGCTGGGGCCATAGAGTCCCTGTCTCAAAAAAAAAAAAAAAAAAAAAAAAAAAAAAGTAAAGAAATTAAAAACTACTTCTAATATGTCAAAGGCCAATGCCAACTCACACATCCAGGTGTTTTCCAATTTTAAAATTTCATTCTAGAGGTGGCAAGATGGCTCAGTGGGTAAAAACATTTGCCAATTAAGTCTGACAACCAGAGTTCAAATTCCCAGATCCCACATGGTAGAAGGAAAAGAAATTTGTCTCTGGCCTCCACATGTGCACTATGGCAGATACACAGTCAGTCAGTCAGTCAGTCAGTAAGTAAATAAATGTGAAACAAAACAAAAATTTAAAAGACATCTTAATATTGAGTGATTAGTAAACATAATGCTTGCCACTCAGGAAACTGAGGTAGGGAGTTCACAAAGTTAAGGTCTGTGTCTGAACTACAAAGTGAGTTCAAAGCTTGCCCAGGTAACTTAGTGTGACTCTGCATCAAAATAAAAACTGAAAAGGTCTAGAGAAGCCAGGCATATACTTGTACTCCCAGTACTTGGGAGGTGCAGGCAGGAGGATACGGGGTTTAAGGCTAGTCTCAGCTACACAGTGAGTTCAAAGCCAGCGTCAGCTACATGAGACCTCATAGGGGTGGGGGTGGGAGCAGTAGCTGGGGATGTAGCTCAGTGGTAGAGCACTTGCCTTGTGGCCCTGGGTTCAATCCTAGACACACACCACCACCACCACCTAATGTTTAACTTTTAAAACAGTGTTCAATTTCTACAGAGAAATAACTCTACATAGATGATACAGGGCCAAGGGAGCAGTACCAGTTGGAACGGCTTCCTGATAGTGTGAGCTAGTTCTTATTCACAGATTCATAAAAATATGAGAAAGAAATAATTCAAACTAGGTTTGGGAGAAACAAAGGGAATTGGTGACAAGTATGTACTGCCACTTTTTTCACAGGGGATAACTCTATTCAGGGACAATGAAGGTATTATTATAACATCTGACAAAAGGGCTCTGACAGTGATGCTGCTGGCATCTGCAAGTTATAAACAAGTAGTACACAAAATGCTTTGTCTTCATTCCCACTCAGCATGAAAAAAAGTTACTTCTTTCACCTTAATTTGACCATACTTTTATTGCTGAACACTCACTGACAGTTACCATATTATATACTACAGCACTATAAAATGTAATG